CCATCTCATATTCAGTGTCATGTTATTTTTACCTGGATCCAGCTCCTCTAGATAGATGAAATCAACATCTCCACGTTCATCCAATCCTGCGGCAGCCTCGAACGGTCTCTCATTCGTCTCGATATGCCGCCCTTCTTGTGAGGCTCTATTCAAAGGCATCTCGACAATTCTTCTCTCTCTCTCAACACTGGCATCCCCTCCATCATCTCCAAGTTGCCCATTGTCTTCATGTGACCGTGTTGGTGCAGCAGCATTCTCATTTCCCTCTACCTGTTGACTGTTCGAATCTCCTGTTCCTATCGGTGATCTGGGTTCTCCAACATTGAACTCAACTACCGCCACAACCTCATGCGGTGTAGCAGTCACGGCTTCTCTGCCTATATTTTCTCTTCCTAGTGCCTGACCATTCTCCAGATCTCCTGTTCCCAGTGGTACTCCGGGTTCAACAAGCTCCATCTGAGTTCCTGCAGCAGCCTCAGATTGTACTGTATCTACAGTCATTCTGTTGGCATTCCCATTTCCCTCCACCTGATCAGTGACCGGATCGCCTGCTCCTACCAGTGATCTGGGTTCTCCAACATTGAACTCAACTACCGCCACAACCTCATGCGGTGTAGCAGTCACAGTTTCACCGCCTATATTTTCTCTTCCTGCTACCTGACCTCTCTCTAGATCTCCTGTTTCCTGAGGTACTCCCGGTTCAACAAGCTCCATATGAGTTCCTGTAGCATTTTGAGGTGGCACAGTAGCTACACTCTCTCTGTTTACGTTCTGTCTTCCTTCTTCATGATGGTTCTCCAGAACTTCGGCTCCCACTGGTGCTTCGGGCTCAGCAACCTCCCTCTGAATTCTCAGAGCAATCGCCTCTTCTACGACTTCCTGAACATTACCGAGAACTCCGGCTCCCACTAGTGCTTCACTTTCGAGAATCTCCACCTGAGTCCCTGTAGCATGTAGTATTGCAGCAACACTCGCTCTGCCGCGATTTTCTTCTCCTACTTCCACATCATTCCTCGGATTCGCGGGTCCTCGTGGTGTTATGGGCTCCCCAACCACCTCTCTTACCACAACGTCATCATTCATCTGATTTCTGTCTGTCACTTGTGTTCTCGGTTCAGGCAACTCCATCTGAGTTTCCGCAATAATCTCATCTAGCACAGCAGGAATCCTCTCCCAGCCGACATTTTCTCTTTCAACTCCCTGAAAATTTGCCACATCTTCAGCTTGCACTGGTGCTCTGGGCTGAACGATTTCCATGTGAATGCCTGCAATAATCCCATGGCGTAGAACAGCTAAACCCTCTCCGCCTACATTTTCTCTTCCCACATCCTGGTCGTTTTCCGGATGTTCGTCTCCTATTGGGCCTATGGGTTCAACAACCTCCATTTCTATTGCTGGGGCAATTGCATCATGAGCTTCATTGCCGCGTCTGTGTCCACTACCACGGTTACCTCCACCTCGAACAATTCTGCGTCTGTTGCTCCCCCCTGCTTCACGATTCTCCATGTCTTCAGCCTGCGCTCCCTCTCTGGGTGCAGCAACCTGCCCAGGCATACCTACGACCCTAATAGCGCCATTTCGTACACGAGCTCCTCTTCCAATCCGACGAGCTCTATTAGCTCCTCCTTCAGCAACTTGATTCTGAGCCCTAAGTGGAGGGCGTGGCCTTGGCTGTCGAGCGTTAGGATTCACCAACAGCAGTATTTGTTCCTCATCAGCAGCCGTTCGTTCTTCGCTATAAATTGTCGCCACTGAAAAATAAGATATAGATTTAATTTGCATTATAATAAATTCGTTGAAATTACAAGACCATTTAATAATTAAAATGTTGGAAATTTGTGAAATTGAATGGGCTCCCAATAGAGTAATACATACACATATATCACTTGATTAAACACAAGAAAAATCATGGAAAATGTGATCAATGGCATTCCCATTTATGTGTAATTAGATATTTGTCTTTACCACGTGCTTCATAGCCATCGCTTGTTATTGGATTGAAGTCATCAGGGAGAGTATCTGTATAATGCAATCGATCTTTGTTTGCTATCTTCAAGAAAAAAGCTGCCGTTTTGACAAATCTTTCGGCAGTTATCTTGCCGGCCTCTAGTTTGATCCATTGTTTCTTTTGTGACTTTTGTGGTTCGCTGAGCAGATGAGTTCGTGGTATCCAGCGATAATTAGCTCGTGATCTGTCCTCGAGGATTATCTCGTGTGTTTGCACGATTATTTCTGAGGGAACAATACAATTGAATAAACTAGGGGATTCATTCAGTCGCAACAATTTTTCTTTCAGTGGTACACGGAAGGAACTAATAGGCAAAAACTGCTGAACTGTTTGGTAATAATGTTATGTTTTCGCGGTTTGCCAAAAATTATCGTACCGTTCAGTAAAATTTGTTGACTGCTTAAAAAAAGTAATCTATCTGCCTAGAAAAATTACCCAACTGCCAGACAATCTTTATCAAATGTGTAGATAAGTTTGATCTAGCAATTGCCAATTTTCACTGAGCGGTAAGAGTGATATTGCTCAAACATTCAAAACATAACACGATTACCGATCGGCTAGGTAATTTCTATTGATTTTTTCTTTCCGTCTATATTATGATTTTATTCCGGATACACATCATTAATGAAGAAACATTATCACATGAATAGGATTTTCGAAAACAAATATATTATAATATTGGAACTAATTATTTTTAAAAAGTAACACAGATTTTTGAAATTGTGATTTTAGCCCATCAGAGTACATCATTCTCGATCACTTGGTATGTTTCAATCTGACCTATTATTTCCTTCGAGTCTGTCAATGGATTACCAACCATCTAACAGAGGAAACAAATATCGTTGTGTATTGATTTAAAGATTAAGGAAGGAATTCTTTGAACTATACATTATAGTGTCCCCAGTTAGACTGTGAAGTCCTTGCATTCAACCATTCCAGCCTCCAAATCGCGAAGAAGTGCTTTTATTTGGATCCCGCACTCTGAGTGATTAAAATCGAAATAGATAAAATAACTTTGAGTACAAATTCATAAATTTTCATATTTTTTAGAAACATTACTGTCGTTTATTTTGATACGACAATGGTGGTGACACGAACCCGTTACGAAATATACTATTTTATCATTCAAAAATATTAATATCGCCAATAAGATACCATATATAGCATTTCGATCCTTACATTACAACTACTGTATAAAGTGCCTTTGACAGTTGTATAGTGCTCTAGGAGTTTCTCATGGAGTAATGCGTCAACATTCCCATAGATAGGCACGGTGTGCTCGAATATCCTCTTCAGTTTGGTTACAATTGCTGCATAGGCTGGCGGATTTCTGTTCTTTACAAGAATCCACAAACATGGCAGCACCTGAGAGCGTTAAATTGTTGTATCATGTTCTGTTACTTTCTATTTATGGAAGAAATAATAGAGTTTGATCGAAATAGTTTCACTGATTCTTTAGCAATGGAAAATGTGAGATGTTGGAATAAAATTGGTTCATATCGAGAAAACTCCGATAAATTTATCTTTTGGGTCCCGATGAATTGAGCGTTCAGATAAATTGAGTGCTGATTTTTGGCGTGCCGATTGAAAATTCAAGTCGTAAAATAAATTGTAATGATTGTATGAAATCTAAAGCTAGACTCCTTAAAAGCTAGACACATTTTCAGAATTTTCCCATTTTGAACAAATAGTATCAAAATCCAGATACTTAATTTCTGATGTGAATGCAAAGTTGTGACTTTCGAGATGACCTAGAATTTGATTGTAGAACTACAAATGGATAAGATTACAGCGGTATTTGACTCGGATTAAATAAGATGGTAAAAACAAGAGGAAGAAAATCCGATAAAAGTTGTAAAAAATAGATGAACTAAAAACATACTCACGTGGTTATTAATAAGTGCCGATGCTACGATAATTTCTGTCACTGGGAGTAATGAAATATCGAATTGATTGCTGGCCACGAAAGAGACTGATGATACTTCCGCATTTCCGAGATCAACCAAAAATTCATAATCGGAAAAGATGAGGACTTCAGATTCTCCGCCTGTGTTATAGATTTCCATATCCATACGACCATTACGACTCCAAAGCAGGGACATATACATATCCGTTGAAAGTTTGTCGTACAGAGTTCCGTAGGAATCATCGATCCTTGGGAATTCCATATGAAGTCTGCAAGTGGTCATGCGATTTTTCACAGCATCATAAGCAATGAGCTGAGCTGCCTCCCAATGTCTATAAAATGCATAACACAGCAGATAAAGAAACACAAAATTGGAAGTACGGCGATATCACATATGTGCCAAAAGGTTGTATAAACACGTCTTGTGGAAGTACTAAATCTCCACATTTCAGATGAGTCTGTACCACATCCAAATTTTTGGGGTGAGCCACTCGAATTTCTTGGTGGCTCTTTGTTTTAAATTATAATTGGTGAAGCTAGAGATTTTTTACCTTGATACATCTGACCTTTACGATTATTTGACTCTCATGAAGTCTGGCATTGCATACATTTTACCCTTAATGCAAGCACATAAGTGCCCTATCTATACGCCTCATGCACAGCACCGAAGTGCGCCACGAGCGACGCCTGGTGGCTAAAATTTGAATATTTTAGGTATCAGTCGTAGACTTTACCACTGTGTACTAAACACAAACATTGATATTGCAGTTGAGAAATAGTATTAAATAGAAATAAATTGGTGAATTACATGGAGGTATGGCTACCGTAACAATTTCGTGTGGGTTTCAGAATGTTTCACTCGGATATTTTCGTAAAAAATGTCTTTCCAAAGGTAAGTAATATCGATTATCGTACACATCTTGTCGATAGATCAAAATAAATATCGTACGGTGGTTCATTCCTACATCAATATAGATGAAGGTAAAATGTCACCAGTAAAAATACATGAAGTAAATATTTTTTTTTTAGGAGGAAAACTGTTTGAAAGCAATCACGTGACTAGTGTTAGAGAACAAATAATGGGAAAACAGCGTGTAATTCATGGTAATGTTTTATCTCAAGTAAAAATTAATAAGTCAGATTATCAAGTGGAAATCACAGTAAGTATAATTACTAAAAAATATGACTTTATAAATTAAACATGAAATATTCTATTTAGTTGAGAGAAGATCGTGAGATCCTGAGGACAAGCTGTTCATGTCTTGCTGGAAAATCACGTCGAGGCTGTAAACACAGTGCAGCAATATGTATATTTGTTAATAACGGATCTACCAGTTCAAAAACAGATATTCCTCTCACTTGGGATAAACCCTCAGATGTCCAACCAGAAAGATATAAAAAAGGCTGTACCACAGATAAATTATTTCCCCAAAAAATAAGAGCTTTGAATGAATGTTTATCGTTTGAAAGTGTAAGAAATGTCTCACCTAGTTATTTCGAAATTGATTGTGCTTTTGTAAAATACTTAACAGTAGAGAAACAAATTGAAAATCTAAGTGTTGAACAGAGAGAAGAAAAAAAAAGGAAACGGAAGAACTAAATTTTATATGCGAAAATTTATATAAAAAACAATTTGGTATGACCTATAACAACTTTGAATCAATTGATGCAGGCGATGGGAAAATTAAGCTTAAAAAAACTCAGTGTCCTTTAGAATACGAAAAAAAATATAATTTGGTGAAGGTATCAAAAGATGATTGGTGTAAAATCATTGTTGATTCAAAAGGTCAGTCATCATGTTTTCAATGGTATTCTGAACGATACAAGAGAATCACATCCTCAATGAGAGCTCATCGTATTAAAACTCGAGTGAACAATTATGAAAGTTTGGCTGTACAATTCAAAAATGAGAAATTCAAAGGCAGAATGAATGAGGCTATGGAATATGGGATAAAAATGGAGGAGAAAGCTCGTCTTGATTTTATCGACCAAACACATTTGACGGTGTCAATGGTCGGTTTAATTATTAAAATCCATCAACCTTTTCTAGCTGCTAGTCCAGATGGGGTCATTCTTGAAGACAACGCCTTACTGGAAATTAAATGTCCACATACATGTAAGAATGCTCAGATTATTAACAGGGAAATTAAGGCATCCAATGTTCCTTATCTTATCATCGATAATGAAGGTAAGATTGCGCTTAAAAAATCCCATCAGTATTACACCCAAATCCAAACTTCCATGTATGTCACTGGTCTTGAAAAATGCCATTTTTTTGTATACAGTGAATGTGATTCGGTGCATCTTATTGTAAAAATGGATGATGAATTCTTGAGGGATGTTATCCCAAAGATTGAATGGTTTTACTTTCATTATTTTCTACCTACATTCAAATGAGCATGTATGTTTTTATGTAATGGTATACATAATCAAGCACGATTGTTACTTGACTAATGGACTCTTTTCTTCTATTGTGTGTTGGTGAGAGAAAGGGGAATGAGGAATATATTTTAAATATTGTTTTTTACATAAATTCATATCGAAGTTTATTGCATGTAAAAGTTTATTACATTGTATAAGCAAATTACCTTAAAATGTTAAATGTTCGTCAATTATAAATGTTCAAAATAAAATGTTAAATGAATAATATTTCACTCACAAACTGATTTGTTTGTATCGGTCTTTTCGTTGGCATTTTTTTACGCATTTTTTATCAGTGGTGGTTGACTATTGGCAATGATACAACATATGTGCATTATGGAATCTATATAAGGAAGAAAATCAATTGGAATGTGGTTTAATATGTGTAAAAATTTAAGTCGTTGGATACTCCGCTCGACATGAATCCGTACAGATGCGATGTTATAAGTACATTCAACTTCTTCTTCGGTAAATTGAGGAGTCATTGCGTGAGGAGGGATGGTAAGAATTGCGTTGCGTTTTAACATTTCCGAGCGAATTTGTGGGAAGCCTTTATCAGCCAATACTTCGTCCCCTGGTTGTAATAATGATAGGAAGCCTGAATCATTAACGATAAATGCATCGGTTGCTTTTCCCCCATATGCTTGAGATACTTTACAAATAAAACCGTCTGGAGTTATTACTATTAGAAATTTCTGAGTGAATCTACCCTTATAATTTGAATATGTAAGTATACGTTGTTCTAAAGTCGGGGGAGTATCGCATGATATTTCGGTACAATCAATTATGCATCAACAGTTAGGATAATTGTGAAATGACTTAGGAAGGTTTGCTTTCACACTTTCACGTGAAGGCCAAAAAATCCACGACTTGGTTTTCATTGTCAAAATTTCAAGCAACGAATAAAATATTCGAGATGCAGTACTACTATGGATATGAAATAGACAACCAAGTGCACAAAATGAAATTCCAAGTTTGAATTTCATAAGAAACATAAGCAAGCGATTTTCTTTACGGATTGATTTATAATAAACGCGCTTCCCATTGTCTCGACGATCATCAATAAGCGTCAGTAGAATATTGAAAAGTTGAATAGTTGAAATAGAAACCCTGGTAATAAGAGACCAATAATTTTTACCTTCAATGCTTTATCTTTTACCGACAGCAGATCGCAGATACCATATGCAGGAAACTGCAATTTCTATTCGTGTGCTGCTTGGTACTTTTATTACTACCAAATTTTTAAGCCATTAAAACATGATTCTAGCATTTATGCAAGCAGATAGCTACAGGATTGGAGGAAAATGCGTTCACAGATTCAAATTTCCACTCAATACTCAATGTCTGGGTTATTTGTGTACAGTTTTGTGAAACTCAAATAATTTACAAAACATACATTGTTATGCATCATTTATTGGAAGTCCGGTGTTATACATTTCAAATTCGACAGTACTGTTATTCTTTATGGTGCAACCTAACTTGTTCATCTTAAAATGACTAAACTAGCGAGAACAAATCCCTGTATTTAGGAATAATTAATAAGTTTCAAAATATCGATTTAATCAGGTCCAAAAACCCACCAAAAGTACTAAACGATACTTATAAATTTCCTGAAACCAACGAGTTTTAACTCGATACTCAAATAATCTATGCAAACATATTTCGATATGTTCATTGGATCGGAAGGTTATTGTTGCCTCCATTTTTCAGGCCGTTGAATAAAGCAAACAGTTTCCTGAATATTGTCCCCTATTGTGATAACAACTACTTGCTATGGCTACTGAATTGGAATCCTGTGAATTTTAACATCTCATGATTCCAATTTCATGCCAACATCAATTCTCGTGGTGATCATGCGCGCGCATTTCTAGTTCGGTGATTTTACGTTTCTGGGGTCTACCACGGACTTACTAAAAAATTTCGGGCCGACTGTACCCCAACCGGCTCCACGTCTATACTATGATGTATAAAAAATGTTTGCCGTATGAAGGACGGCGGTGCTCCATATATAGGCAAGAAAAATGAACGGAAGAAATGGCTAGGAGCCGGATAGCTCAGTTGGGAGAGCACCCGATGTATAATCGGAAGGTCCCGGGTTCAAGTCCCGGTCTGGACTATCCATTTTTTCAGTAATTTTTCTTACAAAAATTATATGGAGAATTATCCTGTTCCCCTTCCTACCTCATCCAAAAATCCTATCCAACGACTCCTGTGACGTACATCCACATTGCCATCGACTCAATCTCGAACACCTATCGACAAAGTGCACAACTCGATCCACCCTATCGAGTGGTCCGCCAGGGTGTTCCGATTGAAAATATGGGCTTATACGCCTTAAGGGCTACAGAGATCACAAGGGGATGATTGTGAGATTTTGGAAACCAGTGGAAGTTCGATGTCCAGTGCAGTGGGTGAAACACCTTAGGGGGAAGGCATTTGCTCATATGATCAAGTCGATCATCCTACGACATTGGAACGAATTTGTGAATGAGATCTACATCACTATCATTGATATTGATACTAGATTGATCAAACAGAGGGAATATGAGCATTGGTGTGAGGTGACAGATGAACAGTCTTCATCCTGTAATAAAATTAAATATAACGAGATGTATATTGGATTCCATCAGTATGAGGTTCAGGAGAAGCGGTGGTTGCATCCAGTGATGAGAAGATGAGTGAGAGAGTTGAGGAGGTAAAAGTGGAGATAAAAGAAGAAGTAACAGCCGAAAAAATCGACAGCGATGCTGAGACATATTACAATCCTGATGTTGTTGAAAATTATCGTTCTGGAGAGGGGTTAGGTAAGGTTGCAGGGTCTATTGAAAGGATTGAAGATGGGAGGAGGAAGAATGGGAGGTGGAGGAATTCAAGCTGGAAGAGAAGGCTAACCATTTATTGGAACAGTCGGTAGCGATTGGTGAACCGTTTTCATTGATGAATATGGTTGACTGTGAGGAAATCGATGGACTGCAAGGGGGTGGAAAAATCAAGGTGGCGAGGGTGGAGGAGGAGAAGCAGGGAGAGGAGGGGGTCCACAAACCGCTGAATGCTTCGATGCTCGTCGATGAGGGTGAACTATGCCGAGATGATGATGACGATGATCATGATGCTATGGGAGTTGTTGAACAGCGAGGGCGGCAGGGTGAGGAGTGGATTGATGGTGAAGGCTCAGTTGATGCTGATGGTTATGGTAGTGCAGTGGGGATCATTGAACAGGCAGAGGAGTGGGAGATGGCTAGTGACTCTGGGGACGATTTGGTTTGCTTTAGAGGTAATATTTTATTATTAATTTCAATTGAATCATAGAAAAACAAAATTTTATCGGATGAATAATATTTTTTTTTTAATTCTAGAAGTGACGAAGGTGATTCGATATCGCCACTCACGCACTGGGGAGGAGAGAGTGGAGCACTGGAGAATGAGAGAGTGGGTTGACCAGGAATAATATTGGGTAAGGAACAACAAAATTGATTTTTCCAAATAAAGAAATAAATACTTGTAGGTAATGCCTATCTACAAATATAATTTAACATTTTTTTAAATTCTGTTCTAGTCTCCAACATGCTAAGGGGTGAAGAAAAGAAGACAGAAGCTGTAAAAGAAATATCTTGAGATTATTGATTAAAAGATGTAATAATTATCGTTGTTGAAGAAAAAACTGAATCGATCATCATTGCATTTGCCAGTACCAGCGAGCTTAAATTCATATATATAGTGTAACGTGGTATTTTGAAGTTCGACCGTTCGTCGGTATTAAGACGTCCAGACGGGAAGTCAAACTATTAGCGAGGCAAGAGTCTGAATGTGTTTTATTTTATGATTTTTATTTTTTTTTATTTTTTATTTTGAAATGTATCGAGCCATAATTCACCGCTCAGTCTGGGACATTTTACTGGAATCATCGTGGGAAATGCTGAAGTCTTTTGGATTGCTCTTCAATTTTCTTCTTGGAGGAATCGAGAGGACAAAAAGGAAATTTGGATTTCGCGCAATCCCCAGAGTTTACCCAGAGAAAACGTGTGGTGGCGCCAGTGTCCGGAGCATGGATTTATTGGCTCCCAAATCAGCAATTAGGCGGATTATAATCGACAAATAGATGAGCTCAATTAACTTGAAGGGTGTGGACCGAGAATCGAAAAATATATATAATATTTTATTGAATTAGGAGTCCAGAGATTCACTCCTGACAACTGTTTGTCAGCCGGACTCCTTTACTAAATTAATCTGTTAATGTGATTAGCTACGTGAGTCGTTAGCCAATCGGAATATTCTCGTGTCGGTGACGAGTCAATCACAGTATTTGTCAGCTTCGTCACCTGTAGAGCGTTGTCGTTCCGCCATTAATTGTCACTTCTCGTTTGGACGCTGATTGATAGACAACGAAAAATTTTGATCGCTGTAAGTTGAAAAAGAATTCAATTACATAAAGTTTTGATCACAGAGGAGATTCTATTGAGAGTCTGAGGATTTCTGCTGCTGCTTTCCCAGGACTTTTTCTGGACTGGATTACTGGTGAGCAGTGGATGATATTTTGATTGATTAAAATCTTTACATTGCTTAATTGGAGATTTTGAAATTTTATTAATTTTATTGATTTCATGTCCATGGCCTATGACGCTATTTGCGAAGACTCAGACTTCACGAATGGTTGAACTCGTTGGGTAGAGTCATTAAAATCTTAAAATTAATAATTTTCTTTTCTTTTGACTCGTGATTGACTTTTCAAGTATTAAATGTATTCCAAAAATTTGTGGTGTTAACTTAATTCAATAACGACTCTTGTCTCTCTTAAATTGTGATTTTGGAATTTATAATAATCTAGTTATCGATTATTTTTTTTTGTTGTTTGGCTGAGTCCTGAATTCTCGAGGTCATTGCTGTTATCCTCGAGATTTCAACTTAGTATTTATCGTGGTCTGAGTAGCCACAAAAACATTTCGATTTAATATATTATTTCATCTCATAGCATCGAAAGTGGAATTGCAGCGTCTGTCGACGCTCGATATTTGTGTTTTCGCCGGTAACCCTTTCGGTTACTTTCGGCGGTTTGTTTACATTCTTTCGAGGCAATTCCCCTTTCTATCGCTTCATCCTTATTTAATTTTTTTTTGTCGTATTATTGGACACGCTTGTTTCTGTAGAAAATTTCATTTCCTGTGTTATCTACAAACTTATTTATCGATCGACTAGCTGTTTTACCGACTGTAGACGTTTTCATTAATTTTTTTACTCTATTTAATTGACGCATTTTATTAATCTTTTGACTAATGATTTTTATATTTAATTGACTTGAGATAAGGAATTTGTCTGGTTTAACATATTTGTTGTTTGTGAACTTATTTATTAATTGTGAGCAGAAACAGCGTGATCTTTTAAATCAAGATTAAGTCGGGGCTTTGTATGATATTTTATTTTGTTTTCATAATTTTATTATTGATATTAAATTAATGATTTTGTTACCCCGCAATTATTAAATTCGATTAGTTTGAATTAACTCAGCCATTTCAGAATCAAGGAACAGTGTTGGGAACCCAGCCGCCTCCGCGGTTGATATACTGAGTAGTCAGCAGCTGTTATGTTATTAATTTGTCTTTTAAAAAATTTTTGGCCGTTTTTAATAAAAACGTCCTGGCGCCTAACTTTTGTCGTTTTAGATTGGTCGCCGAGGGCTGCGTATATTTTTCTCTTCCTCCGCCGAGGGCAAAAATACGTCACAATAGCTATCCAAACGGTTTTACAGTCATTGATATTATTTTTTTATGAAAATGAAGAAACTCCATTATTTTCAAATGAATTTTTAGATTTAGTATTCATATAATTGTACAAAATCAATGATATCTCATAGAATTGGTCGGGCACTTACGATTTAATAATAAATGAACTCAGGGCACCACCGATAAATTCCTTTTCAATCCTGATGAATTCAAATGTTGTTCCCTCACCCAGATACTTCAGTTGGAGTTGTTTTTTGGAGGCGGCATCTTGAAGTTTCTCGAAATTTATTCTATCATTCAGGAGAAATTTCGTCACCCTTCCAGGAAAAATACAATGAATGGCGCATTGGCAGTCATGACAACACTCAATGCACACCTAATTTCGAGAGTTTTTTACTCTACGAATGAGGTAGTGGATATTTGGATCCAACTCTGCTATCTTAGTTGGCAAGTAACTACTGCTAG